TTTCTGAAGGATTAAAACAAAATCCAAAAGAGGAGAGAGTGTATCAAATAAGTCACTGCTGAGAAAGAGAAAAATGAAAAAAAAAAGTTCTCCTTTAATAAAACTCATTTTTTCCATTCTTCCTTTCAATTTTATTTTCATTATTTATAAAATTAAAGGTTGGGATTAAGTAATTTCTAGACTCATGCAGCTTGCTATTGTATTTTGCAAAATGGTAGTGATGTTTGACACCACTAAAAGCATATTACGAGCACTTTATGCAACATTTAGCATACTGTACAATGACTATAGAACAGAAGAGCTATGCCTTAGTCCATTTTGTTCTGCTATAACAGAATACCTGAGGCTGGGGAATTTGTAATAAACAGGAATTTATTTTTCACAGTTCCTGTGAAGGTTCGATTCTGAATATTTAGATATTTCTCATTTTTCTGAAAAATTTCTCAAAAATTTCCTTTGTTTTTTGTTATATACACTGGAAAGCTAAATAAAACTGTCAAGTATACAAATTGGATTTCATGAAAATTAAAACTTTTGTTCTTTATGTGACACTATTTAAAAAAGGCTACGGTCTGGAAGAAAATAAATGCAAATCACATGTTTGATAAAGGACTTGTATGCAGAAGATACAAAGATGTCTCAAAACTTAAGAAAACAACTCATTTAAAATATGGGCACAAATTTTGAACAGACACTTCAAAAAGAAGATACATAGATGGCAATTAGGTACATAGAGCCATTGTCATTACAGCAATGTAAATTAAATTTTCAAGGTGATACCACTGCATACCTATTATAATGGCTGTCAAATAAATACAAATAAAATTAATGATGTCAAGTGCTGCCAGAGATGTGGAGCAACTTGGACTCTCACACACTGCTGATGCTAATAATAAAAGGCACAGCCACTTTGGAAAACAATTTGATAGTTTCTTAACAAGCTAAATGTAGGCACATCATACAGCTCAATAATCCCACGCCTACGTATTTACCCATGTGAAATAAAATCTCATGTCCACAGAAAACCTCTATAATAACTACTTGATAGAAATTTTATCTGTCAAAAACTGGAAACAACTGAAATGCTCTTCAACTAGTGAATAGATAAAAACAAAACGAAATTGTGATATAGTCATTCAAGTGGAATACTAATGTTAAAAAGGAAAAACTCATAAAAACAGCAAAATGGAGGGATCTTTAATGCATTATGCTAAATGAAAAAAAGACAACAGACTCAAAAGGCTAAAAATACTATATGATGTTATTGACAGGATACACTTAAAAAGGCAAAACTAAAAGGAAAGAAAACAAATCATTGGATGCTAGCAACTGAGAATGGGGTGGGGGTGGGAATGAGGGGTTTTTGACCACTGCATTAATTATCTATTGCTTGTAACAAGTTAGGAGCTTAAAAAAAGAAATGCTTATTATCTCCTAGTTTCTGTAGGTTAGAAATTGGGGCATAGTTTAGGTGAATGTCTCTGGCTCAAGTTCTTTCAGGAGGTTGCTGCTAGTCGGTTCAGGTCTTTGCAGACTGCAGTGTCATTGGACTGCTCACATGGAGAAAGATCTGCATCCAAACTCTGTTACATGGTTGTTGGCAGAATTCAGTTCTTCATGGGGCTTGGACTGAGGAGCTCAGTTCCTTGCTGGCTGGTTAGCCCACTTCCCTGACATATGTATTTCTTCAAAGGGCGCTCATAACAAGGTAGCCAGCTTTTTCTTAGAGAGTGTTTGAGTGTAAGAGAGGACAGCCAAGACACAAGCTACTATCTTCTTTAAACCTGGTATCAGAAGTGACATGCCATCATCTTTGCTAAATTTCTGTTTACTAGAAGAAAGTCACTAAATCTAGCTCACACTCAAAGACAGGAGATTATAAAAGGCATGAACACCATTGGACAGGAATCACTGGGGGTCATTCTAGAGGCTGCGTTGCCTAGTTAGCCCTTTGGACCTCAGTGATTTATATTTCTCCCACATTCAAAAGATGCTCACTTCTTTCCTGTTCCCAAAAGTTTCATTCCACTGCATTATCAGTTCAAAGTCCAGAACTTGAATTATCTGAAACAGGAAACCATCTTGAAGTCTGACTACCACAACCACAAAAAGGCGGTGGGGGAACTCCATGGGGTAGTAAAATTGTTCTGTATCTAGATTGCAGTAATCATTGAACAACGGCATTTGTTAAAAACTCATAGAACCGAACATTAAAAGAAGATGGATTTTGTTGTATGTAAGTTACATCTTCATAAAAATATTGAAAAGGAAATTCAAAAATACAACACAGACCACACACACAAACTACATAAAATGTTGACCAAATGAATGGAAGTGTTGGCCAATATATTAATAAAATATACAGAATTACATTTGGCACTAGAAAGCAGCATAATTATTTCTAATTATATCATTGAAAAATTATAATAACCTACATGTATTAATATTATCTATAATTTGCTTACAGAAAAAGAAAAATATTATTGAACAGAATGTATAATTATATGAAGTCTTTCACAGAGAGAAGCTTATTCTCAATAATATCTTTTTCTCCTCAATATTTGTTTTCACTTCTTAAAACAGATAATTCATCAATTCAAGTATTAGGAAAGATGATCATATAAATGCACTGTTAAGTTTTTCTCATTTTGTTCACAAAAGAACTACTGGAATAACTTTCCATAAAATGCATTTTTATAACTTCTTTTGTAACAATAATTTACCTCCAATAAGCTGAATATAGACTATGAAACAAATTCAGTATTCCTTGTTTTTTTACCAATTCTGAAAATGAGGTGAGGCAGTAGGATCCTGTTACTGTGCCCTGTTTGTACAGCTGTACCTCATTGAATGAGGCTTGTGTTACACACAGTTTGTGATAGGAAGTAAATGCTTTTGAAACAACTAAAGAGATAGATCTTTAACCTCCACCTTTGTGGATTCTTTGTTTCACCGTTTAGCTTCTGTAGAGGGTACCAGGAAGTGGCTCCCAATATATATTATAATTCTCTAATGGAACCTCGTCTGATTAGCTCATCCTCTTGTTAACTCATTTTGTGGCGCATTAGAATGAATTTTTTAAAAACAAATCCTGACAGGTCAAAAACTAGACAATGTATTGATTTTAATGAAGGTTTATAAGTCACAAGTTATAAAATGTTCAGCAGTGAGTATGTTCTAAAGAGAAAATGGTGTTTAGATTACTTCAAGATCTCTATCTGTAAGCGGTTTTCAAACTTTAGAGGATTCATCAAATTTATTACCTCTTAATCAACTTCCACGTCACATCTGAAGATGTAAAGTGCCACAAGGGTCTTTGTATATTTCTTAGGTACAGCCATTAGGCTTATCAATAAACCAGATAATTTAGTTCTATGTTATTTCAAAGATTATGACTGGATATTTTTAGAAGTCATTATGGTGAAGTAGTTCTCTTTTGTGTAAGAACAATTTCCTTAATTGCTGGCAGAGAAATACAATGTCATTCCTACAAATGATTAAAATAATCCTACAAATGATCCCAACCAATTGGGATCTAAGTTACATGTCTGCTGATGGTTGATGACAATACATGTTCCACTGAAAAATATATGACTTTAATAAAAATGGCATTTGTTATCTGTTCATAATATTCCTTATTATACAGAATTAAGTCCTTCTTATATCTATGAGCTACCATTTGTTTATCAAGACTTTTTGTTTAACAATTTTGTTTGGTAATTCTCTACACAGACTGTTCAGAGAACTTTCATTTTGAAAGAAATGGACAAAATTTACACAGATTGAATATATATATATATATGATTATAATTTTCATAAAAAATTCTAAAATTATTCTGCTATGTACTATGCATTTTAACTGTCAGTATACGGCAAATGCAAAGACAATTAACTTGATATTTCCAGTTCTAGGTCCACTGGTTAGTTCCTATACATCCAAGCCTCAAAGATTTAATTTCTAATCTATACTGGCAAGGATATGATGATCAGGTCACATAGCTAATTCCATTTCGTGGATTTGTAGCAAAAGACTAAACATAAGTTACTTTAGCTAAGAACATATTTTTTAAAACTGAATAGAGTATAATGTGACATTTTGATCTCTGATTTTGTTAGGAAATGAAAAATGGCAATACAATTTAGAAATATGGGCAGAATAAAAAAATGACTTGTACTATTCTGTGTCAGCTACTTAGGGGATCAACACAGTGTCATATTGGTTGTAAAAATTTTTATAAAAGGCCACTCTTCTTTGGAGTCTGTATGAATTCCAAGACAGTATGAAAGCAATCTGTACAGTGCTTGATGAAAATAAACAACAATCATTTTCTTTTTTATGAACACAAATAAAACTATGTGGGAAAATTTAGAAATGATTTAGTATTTTGGTAAGGTATGCGAAAACCATAGGTAACTGTTACCTAATATATTTTTGTAAATAAAAGAATATCTGAGACCTTAGTGCAAAATACTACTATGCTATGCTTTGCTTCTTATTCCAACAGATTTTGAGACTTCTCAGAAAGCCATGAGGAAACAATTTCATTAATATTTTATTCCAAAATTTCCATACCAATTTCTCCCATCAGATCATTTTTCTTTAGTTAGAAACATGTTATCACATGCTGAAAAATCATCACTATCCATTGAGTGTATTGTCACAACATTACCAGCTAGCTTTTATAATCTGTCATATTATAATATGTTAGCAAAGTGTAAATTTTGGAATTAATGTCAGCTTGTTGGAGGCATTTAATTATAACATATAAACTATACGTATTTATTGGCTATGCTTTCAATTTTATTTATTTACAGTGCATACAGTCTCTGGTTCCAAAAATTATTTCAGGCAGCATATTTTAATTATAATTATATTGGCCAGCTTTTACAGAGATGTTCCAGATTTTTATTCCTCACTCAACAGAGCAGCATGCATAACTGAAAATGGAAGTTGCTTTGTTCTTATTCTCATGGCTCATTGCAAATTATGTGTTTTGCAGAAGTTAATATTATGTGGGCCGGACACCAAACACATCATAGTTCTGAAGACTATAACTTATCCACAGCACTGAGACAGTCTGTCCTCCAGTTATATACTTCCTGGGTAAGTTGTATGAAATGGAATAAACATGGTACTCTAATTTGTTTTTAAGTCTCAGCTATTTCTATTTCCTCAAAAAAAAAAAAAAAAAAAAAAAAAAAAAACACTAATAGAAGGTGTTTTACTAAAATGCTTCTTTCTTCTCTGTAAGGCCAGATGCTAAAATCTTTCTTTTCCTTCTGTGAGGCCAGACACACATGAAGCAAATGCTGTTTATCAATAGAAGTATTTTATTTGACCCAGAAACTCAACTTAAAGTATATGGCAATGTGAGAAAGCAGAATGATTATTTTTTAATTTACTGTAACCCAGGAGGGTGATGTATAGATAAGGTATCTCCATTCAAATATATGTAAACAAGGTTTTCAGTAAAAATTTTTTAAAGTGTTTTTTTTTTAAACTAATTCTCTAAAATCTACTTGAATGCTTTGCTTTTTGTTATCATATTAGATCAATAACATGATCCAAAAATGTTTGGCTCTAAAATATTCTCACACAAGGAAATGACAAGATTAATGAATACCAGAAATAGCCTCTACTTGTGGAGTTCTTTTGACTCATGGGGAAACCTTGATCTACTTGATAACAACCCTTTTTTTGTCATCATCCTTGCTTAGCTCTTCTTGGTTATGAAAATACATGATACTGAAATGTATGTTGAACAGTGAGCTAGAAAGTCAGAGTAACTGATGTGTAAAATCAGTAATCATGCATACTTAATATTGGTGTGTAAAGTCAATAAGCTATTTCTTAACTATAAATTATAATGATCCAACATTTGCATGGTTCAAAATACTTTGCAAGGTAGTTTTGTTAGATACCATTTAATGAGTATGTTCTATGTGCCGCTCTTCTAAAATCTCTTTATATATTGACTTATTTCATCTTCACAACAGCCTTCATACACAGGAATTATTATAGCTCTTATTTTAAAATAGAGCTGAGTCTATAGTTCAGTCACACAACTAATAAAGGAAAAAGTAGAACTTGAACTCCTGCAGCCTGGTTCCAGGGCCCTTGATCTTAATCTCTGCACTCTAATGCTCTTCTACATGCCTCCATATTGTTTTTCACGTCTGTTATCTCTCCTAATCCTCATAAATAAGCCTATGGTTCTCTAGATCAAGTATTATCATTCTCAGGGAACTGAAGATCAGTGAGGTTAATTACACAGCTAGTAAATGATAAAGCCAAGTACTTGAAACCAGATGTATTATACGTCATAGAAAAATACACTGACATGTGTGCTAACCCAAACAGCAGCATAGGCAAAACAAATCTATAAGCCACGGATGGCACTAATACATTTCCTGGAATGGATCTTAACAGAAATTCAACCCCAAACTCCCATACTATAGACCTGTGATGATGCTTGTATTATTTTTCTAGAGCTGCAATAAGAAGATATTACTAACTGGGTAGCTTAGAAAAACAGAAATTTATTATCTCACAGTTCTGGAGGCTACAAGTCAAGTCAAAATCAAGGTATTGCCAGAGCAATGCTCCTCTAAAGGCATGAGGAAAAGATCTTTTCTGGTTCTCTCTCTTAGGTTCTGGTTCTTTCTGAGCTTGTGACAACATAATTCTTATTTTCACATGGCATTCTTCCTGTTTCTTTGTCCAAATTTCCTTTTTAGGAGGATACCAGGCATATTGGTTTAGGGAATCACCATACTCCAGCATGACCACATCTTAACTAATTACTTCTACAACAACCCTGTTTCGAAATAAGGTCACATTTAGAGAGTTTCAGGACTCAGATTTCAACATGTGAATTTGGGTAAGGAAGGCACTATTCAATTCAAGAAACACTTTTAAGCAATATACGTGGAAAGGAAATATGTATATATTCATAACCTATAGCTTGTGCTGGAACTCTGGATGATTAAATACAAACAAAATCACTGCCTGTTTTACAGCTGCATAATTCAAGATTGGACTAAGGCTTCAGGGCAGTTAATGAAGGGGAAAACAGAGCCTGTGATGGAAGAAAGGGGTACTGTTCATTCCTCCTTCTTAAAAAATTGCTGCATTAATACAGCTTTTCAAAAGGCCAAAAATATAGGCTGGATATATGGCTAATGAAAATTACAGTCTCCAAAATCTTTACTCTCTTCTGACTTACATATTTCTCTTTTATTAAAGACAACTGAAATCTCCAGTAGTTGCATTTTCAGAGAGAAAGCCTCCAATAAAGGAAGTAGCTGCATTTGAAGTTGCTCTGGGGAAATCAATGCAGTTCATTAATTACCTGAGGAATTATCAAAGGGAAAAATTATCAGAGCATCATTGACTTCAGAACTAGAAGAAATCTTGGAGATGATATATTTAAGTCATCTATTTTCAAAACTATAAATATGAATCTAAAAGGAGCCCACGACATCGGTATTGAACAATGCCAGGTTGGAGCTTGAGTCCAGTTTATTGTAATCTCTATCTTGGCTTCTTCTGTGTACTTTTCTTTATTAAGTCAATGCATACAAAGTAACAAAGCAGCAAAAATCTATGTAAAATGAGGCTCACACTTGTTTTATTGCCAGAATAATTTGTCTTTACAAACTCATGCCATGTTGTTACGGAATGTGCTGAATAAGGAAATGAACATTGAGAATGCATGACAAGCTGCTAAATATTTTTGGAGGGGGAATGCGGGAACGTGCATGGTGGGAAATGAGATATAGGGATTGCAAGTCAGCCTGGATTCTAACCTAGCATTTCTAGGTCCCTTGGAAGATAAGAGAGATGTTTTAAGGGCCTGTGATGGTTAAAGGCTTGAAAGAGGACTTTCTAGACATCAAAATTATAAAGCACACTTCAGGTCTCCTCGTTTTTGTTGAGTCATTTGTTAAGATTTTCCTCACCAACATTTTTACATAAGGCCTATAATTTGGCAGGTACCAAGGTAACAATGTATTTTAGAACAAATAATAAATGGGCCACATCTTTGAAAAGAAAATTGATTTGTGAAATGAAATGTGAAATTAAGCTCATTTCACATTGAAATATGAAATTAAGTATATTTCTTCCATATTACTAAGAAAATTAAAGCAGCAGAACTTTTGAAGATGTTACACATAAGAATTCAACTTTCTAGAATTTCTAACCATATTATTTGCATTTTAAGCCAATTTTAAGCTTAATATTACTCACCAAAAGGGAGGGCTGTTGATAGAGTGTCATTTTAAGTGAGACTTCTTTACTGCATATACACTGCAATATATGCTTTTGCATGCCACTTCAATCTTTGATTATACATCTTACTATAATGCCTTAAGAATAATACTCTATCCAATTTGCTAATAATAAAATAATAATAATAAAATGTGTTTAAATTCATGGATGTCATATAAAATATAACAGTGTCAGGATTATAACTTCATTTTTGCTGACATTATACATAAAGTACTTGAATGCTGAAATTTTATATTCAAAGCAAAGCCACTGAAGTGCGTGAAAAAATACTGCATCTGGATGGAACTCGAAAACAGAAAAAGAATGTTAGAGATTAAATATACAAAATCCCAACTAGTAAAATCTAAATAAAGTGTGGAATTCAGTTAATACTAACGTACCTGTGGGTTTCTTAGTTGTGGCAAATGCAGCATAACGATGTGTTAGCAATAGGGGAAACCAAGTGAAGGATATAGGATGACACTTTTAGGAGAGTTGTTTTTATTGCAGCACTTCTGAAAATACTAAACTACTATAAAATAAAGTTTATTAAAAACACAGCTACATGAACATGTGTACATGTTTATACTCAGAGCCACTATACATTTTGTGTCTACTATAGAAAAATATTAGAATGAGCCATCAACAATAGACACTGTTTCCTGGGAATCCTAGAGTATTTTAAAGAGCAATAGATGTATCAGCCAATATTACTTTTAATTGGATATTATCCTAAAGAAACTCTTCATTTTTTCGTTCTTTATCTCTCAACCCATCACCCACTGTTTCCTTTTCAGACCACCACTCAAATGAAGCTAAATGTGCCTATAGTTTAGAGAAAGGAATATAATACACTCCTTATCACATGCAGAGCTAGTCAAAACTTGGTTCCGTCTCTCCAGTTTCATCTTTCACACACTCCATTGTCATCCCATCTCCAATTTAACGATTTTCACTTCTCTCAATCTACCGTGCCATAATGCATTGGTATTTCTTTGCACAAGACATTACCTCTGCCTGGAGAATTATTTTCCCTTTACCTCTGATTGTTCTATCCTTCCAAAAAAGATTTTCCAGCCCAGGCTGGAATGCAGGGTGTGTCTCAGCTCACCGCAACCTCCATCTCCTGGGTTCAAGCGATTCTTTTGTCTCTGCCTCCTGAGTAGCTGGGATTACAGGTGGGCACCAACATATCCAGCTAATTTTTTTTGTATTTTGTAAAGATGGCATTTTGCCATGTTGCCCAGGCTGGACTTCAACTCCTGGCCTCAAGTGATCCACCTGCCTCAACCTCCCAAACTGGTGGGATTACAAGCATGAGCCACTGCACCTGGGGAAGATTTTGGATTTTGTTTGTTTGGTTCCATAAAACCCTTGCATTTATCTATTGTAGTACGTAACAATTTTCATTATTGTATTTATGGTGGCCTATAAACTTTAAAAGAAATTAGTCTACTTTTCACTGCTGTATACCTAGTATATATAAGTGTCTACTAAAGAATTAGTGGCTAATAAATGTATATTATGTAAATGAATGAAATAAAAACTATTATGGTTGTCAAAATAAATTTGGCAATGGAAATATTTTTGCTAAATTAACTAGGGTCAGGCCAATGTGAAACTAATAAAGAGTACAATGTGTTAAATAATTTAAATTTGTCATTCATTTAAATATTTTTATTTAATAGACACTCCAAAAATTACAGTATAGGATATATAGTTTATTTACCTTTTGCAATAAAATATATTTGAACATATTTGTTTTATCTATAAATTCAGTATTGAACAGAAAATAGTGAGCTATCTGCCTTCTAAGAATTTAGTATTTCTCT